CAGTCTGTGGTGTGTTGAAACAGGACAATGGATTCACAAAGTTGGATGTAGTTTTATTCAGTGCAGACTGTCCTGTCACAGTTCACCTGCAGCCACACGCTCCCACCGACGATCCAGGCCAGGATTTCACCGTCTTAATCACAAACAATCAGAAACACTTGGCTGTAATCAGGGGAGTTTTTTATGATCCTGTAAATTACCACTAAAGGCAGCACAGACATGGAGAAAATCAATCACATTTAACCCATTCTTAAACCTCTCTGGGGCGACCTGTGACCTCTGTACCACAAAGGAGCAACAAACTTCTCTGAGCGAGATGCAGTCTTCAGAGTCTTAGGTTTGTGTTGTCACAATACAAACATTGAAACAGTAAGAAAAAGGCTTTAACACTTTATAATAACTACACCTTATTTAGCCTTGATAAAGCATGAACAAAGACTTAATTAATAATGAACAAAATCCACGTGTCATTCGTTCATTTGTTTTTCAATATAAAACCAAAAATACTAAAATAAAATAAAAAACAACTATTTTCCTCATTATTTGTCTCCAAACCCAAAACGAAAAAATAGATAACGATTCATTTTTTCAGTTTTCGATTTAGTGTTTAAATGAAAAATGGAAAAAACGGACCACCTGTTTACGTGACTTCCGTGACTGTGATGCTCGACTTTTGCACTGCATATGGACTTAACCAGGACTGATCCAGGACCAGGACCAGAGCGGACTCCGAGCTTTGATTCCGAGCCTCCTCAGGGTTCGAGCCTCAGCTTCGAGCTCCGATCCTGCTGTGGGCTCTGAGCTTCCGGTCTGGTTGGTCCCGGTCTGGTCCCAGCCTGGTCTCGGTCTCAGTCCCGGTCTGGTCCCTGTCTGGTCCCTGTCTGGTCCCGATCTGGTCTCGGTTTGGTCTTGGTCTCAGTCCCGCTCTGGTTCCGGTCTGGTCCTGGTCTCAGTCCCGGTCTGGTCCCGGTCCCAGTCGCGGTCTCAGTTCCTGTCTGGTCCCAGTCTGGTCCCGGTCTGGTCCCGGTCTCAGTCCTGGTCTCAGTCTCGGTCTGGTCCCGGTCTCAGTCCTGGTCTGGTTCCGCTCTGGTCCCGGACCTGAATCAGTCCTGGTTCAGTCCGTATGCGGTGCGGAAGTCCAACATCGCAGTTACAGAAGTCACGTAAACGGGAAGCGGTTGTTATACATTTTTTTCCATTTTTCATTTAAACACAAAATCGAAAACTGAAAAAACGAATCATTATCCGTTTTTTAAATTTGGTTTTGGAGACAAATAATGAAGAAAATTGTTTTTTTTGTTTTTATTTTTTTTATTTTTGGTTTTATTTTAAAAAATGAATGAACGAATGATACACGGATTGAAAAAATACTTAATAAGGCATAATTAGTCTTCACTTTAAAAGCTCTCGAAAAGACTTAACTAACAGATAATAGCTGCTTGAATTAGCATTGCATTTCAGTATTAGTAAATCATCTCTCATGGCTTACTAATCATTAATTAATGTTCAAATTTGTATGTAAATATGCATGTACTAATACACACACATGGTTAGTTCATGAGTAACTAAGTATGAAATAATTATGAGTAACTATTTACAGCGCAGGTAAATTAAGTGCAAGTTAAGTGGTAAAGGTAGTAAAGTGGTGGTTAAAGTAGTAATTATGTAGTTATTAAGCCTGAATGACTCTTAATTAAGTATTTGTTCATTATTAATTAAGTCTTAGTTTGTTCATACTTTATTAAGGCTTAATAAGGTGTAGTTATTATAAAGTGCTACCAAAAAGGCTTAATTCTGAACACAGTAAATGAACATTTTGTCATTTTGATTTGAGGTTTCAATTAAAAGCAACACTTTGGTCACTTGCACTTCCAGACAAAAGTTAGGACACGCTGTTTTATTTAGGTTTTTTCTTTATTTTTCTAACATTGAAAGCATCAAAATTATGAATAACCTCAAAATAACTAAAAACTTAACTAGCCCCCAGACTTTTATTCCTACTTGTGTAATATTTTTTTATTAAAGTTCACTTCACTGTAACACAAAAACGCTTCACAATAAAGTAACACAAGGCAAAAAAAAAAAAAAAACAAGGACAGGACAGACAAAAGCAGTAATGAGGAGCAGCATGTGTGGAGGCGATGAGGAAAAGTGTGTTTTATTTTTTATTGAGCAGTTTTATGAAGGTGTTTACTGAGTCTGAGTTTGATTTGCAGGGGGTGAGAATTCCAGAGGGTGGGGGAGCAACTATGATTCCAAGATCTTGGGCAGTGGGAGAGAGAAATATGAACAAATTTGAACATTTGTGTTTCTTGCACTGCTCCTTCAGATATGATTTAGTTTGTCTAATTTTTATGCCTTATGCCTTTGAAAAAAAGAGCGATTTTGTGCATTGTTTATTTAATGTTTTGTCCTTCCAAATAGTGACTCTTTAAGTAATTTTTTTTTTTTTTTTTTAACACGAGCAACAGAATTTCTTGGACTACTACTTTGTATTTCTACTTGAGTAATATTATTTTGAAGTAACATTACTCTTACTTGAGTACAATTTACTCCACCACCTCTGATCTATGCGTGAGGAATGTTTCCTCGTGTTTGTATAAAGTCAGCAGCTTTGACTTATGTTTCAAATGTCACTTAGGGCTTTCTATAAAAACATGTGTTTGATTTATGATCTGAAAATTAAGCTGCTCTTTGCTGCAGTGTCAAGACAGGAGAAAGTACTACCAAAAACAAAAAAAACATAAGGTGAATAATGGCTCTGGTTAAACGGAAGCTTTTAACATGGACATTTGAGATCCTTATGTTCATCAAATATAACATAAATGTCTGGTACAAAGTTCAGCTCAGAACAAGATAAAAGATCTGGCTTTTATTCATGTCTAAACTGATATTAAACATGCACTTGTTGTGGCATTAATGCTGGTTTTGTTAAAGGGTTCATGTTACGCTGTTTTCTAGGGGTGTAACGGTACATGTATTCGTGCTGAACCGTTCCGTTCGGTGCAGGGTTGTGCATGAGTTAATTTGCAAATTTGTTGTGTGTTTACATTCCACCACTACATGTGCAGCTACGTGGAAGGCACGACTCTTTTAATATTTACAAGTGAACTCGTAAGCGATTGGGGTGGCAGTGTTTCTTAAAGCGCTTTAGAGTTCGGGGCAGCTGCCTTGACAACAATTCCCGCCCGCTTTGACTACATCCCTCCGAACCACATGAATCCTCGCAAAACTACAGTCATCGCACCCCGGGCCTCACTTTCACCTTTTGCCAGCACGGAATCTCCAAACCGTGATTTTTGTGTACCGTTACACCCCTGCTGTTTTCTGATCTATGTTATAATGTTGTTTCCTCATCACAAACAGATCTGGAGTTGTGTTTCTTTTTTTTCATTTACACGTTTAACACACAAATCCTGAGTCCTGAGTTTTTCTCTAAAACAGAAAACACTGTTGTACAGGGCAGTTGTCCCGGGCTCAGGGTTTTAGGAGCCCAGAATTGGACCCTGTTAATATAAATTTATATTAGATTATTATGGGGCTCGCATGAGTCTTCTTGCCCCGGGAAATAAGTTCTCCACTGTGTTTTTAAACTCCATACACCTTCACTAGAATCATTAAAGTGATTTCCAGCTGTTAACTTGAAAACTACCACTACATGACGTTACAAGTCGGAAATACATGGTAGTTAGAGCTCTCGCTGGATCACTGCTGAAGTGAAATAATAATGATGAGGTGCTCTTCGGAGATCCCAAGTGGGCAAATAACTTACTGGATGAAAAAAGGAGATCCGAGGCACTCTGATATACTTTGCTATATATACTATGTTTCGACTTACGTTTTCATCAGGGAACATAAAATTCACAGGTGTGTGTTGGAGGTGTTTAAATGTGCGAGTTACACGATGACATCGTCACGTGATACAACCGTGTAAATATACATTTTTAGACATACACGTTTTAAATGTAAATGTGTAATTGTGTCCTGCTGGATTTTCGACGTATGAGCGAGCACCAATCTACGGAAGCCGAGAGGGGTCACAACAATACGCAAACGCCGCAACAAATACAAATGCAACAACACAACAAAAAGCCACAACGGAAATGACCGCCAGACTCTAAATTAATGCAAACGCCGCAACAAATACAAACGCCACAACACAAACGCAAATGCCACAACAGATTAAAAAGCCACAACACATCAAAAAGCCACAACGGAAGTGACCGCGGGGCTCTATTTTCCAACGGACCGATCAAGCGGCAAGTGAAGAAGAAGAAGAAGAACTACAACGTGAAACAAATGATGATAAAACAATAAATTACTTTTACTCATGTTTCCAACTTCTCGGTTCCTTTACTTTTCACGTTGTAGTTCTTCTTCTTCACTTGCCTGCTTGATCGGTCCGTCGGAAAACAGAGTCCCGCGGTCACTTCCGATGTGGCTTTTTGATGTGTTGTGGCTTTTTAACGCGTTGCGGCATTTGCGTTTGTGTTGTGGCGTTTGTATTTGTTGCGGCGTTTGCATTCAAATAGAGTCCCGCTGTCACTTCCGTTGTGGCTTTTTTTGGTGTGTTGTGGCTTTTTGTTGTGGTGTCGCATTTGTATTTGTTGCGGCGTTTGAGTTTGTTGTGACATCTCTCGGCTTCCGTACCAATCCGTCTACAGGTCAGAGGTTACGGGTGGCCTATTCCCAGATTGGTGCACGCTTTAATTATTGTGATGCACCACTTTGTCCCCTTTTTAAATATGTATGTCTAAAAATGTATCCAACGCACATGAAGATGTAAGTCGAAACGCAGTGTATCGGAGTGCCTTGGATCTCCTTTTTTCATCCAGAGCATTTTGAGCTTTGGAGATTTAGACAGACTAATAATAAAGTGTTACTCAGACGTGTGTGAATGAAACAAAACACAACTCCGGGTCTGTTTTTGATACTGTGTAATTACTGTCTGAACCACATCCTGGTCCCTGCTCACTGTTCCTGTGTTTGGATCTTCCCAGAGAAGGATGTCGGATGGAGAATGTCCAAAAGAACATCCGGGGTCGGAAATACGCCTTTAACATTCTGCAGCTCATGGCCTTCCCCAAAATCTACAGACCTCCAGAGGGCACCTACGGCAAAGTGGACTCCTAAAACTTCTGCTGATGTATATACTGTAGGTGCTTTTCAGATTGTAAAACGCCATGCTCTCAGATGGAAGGCAAGGGCCAGTTTATCTTTTGATTTCATTGTACTTCGCCATGAAATATTCAAAAGGTAAATTCGCAAATGTTGAAGCTGATCATTTCTCGCTGTATTACAACACAAATCTGCATTTTAACTGTATTTATTTTAGCTGACCCACATCTGCGTTAAAATACAGGACTACAGAACGCTTTTATGTCATTCCAGTCATCATGCTGGTGGTTTTCTACATGTATGTCTATGGCGGAATATTCAGGAGTTTCCATGTTGACACACATTACACAAAAGCACTGCCGAAAAAGTTTTAAAATAGTCTGAAAACTCACTGCGACACATTTTCAGGAGCTCGTGATCAATATGAGCGTTCGTGGTCCTGTTTCGGTGAGAGACTCACTGAAAAACTGTTTATCAGCCCAACTGTTGTAGTCAGCAAAGTTCTTTTTGGTCAGATTATGTTAAAATAAAGCTCAGATCAATCTAACGAAGCCGACAGAGCAGTGCCTACAGTTAGCATCACACCCCCAGGGAAAGTTGGTAAAGTATCAGTATTCAGTCACTTTGAATAATGGCCTTTATTTGTCCATTTCTTCACAATTTCTACATTCGGGTGGTCCAAAACCTTTTTTTTTCTCCAGATCAGAGGTTCCCCAAACTTTTTTTTGTGGGGACCCATATTTTAAAAGCCCCAAACCTTCACGACCCAAGTCAATAGACATTATTTATAATTATTGAACATTAATGAGGATATTTTATTGTTGACTGAGTGACTTGTGTCTCTACAATTAGTATTTTTCAAGTTTTAAACATTGAAAAACAGTAATTGAAGCAGCAATAAAAGGATCCATAAGTCGCCTATTTGGACATTACGTGTAGCCCGCTTTTTCTTTTTCAATTGAACCAGCAATATAGGAACAAAATAGTCAATAAAATAATTACAAAAAGATTAGAAATTATGCAAAACATGCCTTAACATGTCAACATTTCTAATGAGATAGGTGGACCTGTCTGTGCTTTTGTAGCGTTTTCCAGTCCGGGTGCAGGAGGAGCGCGCAGCAGCAGATCAGGCGCAGCGTTCGGTCTGTTTCTGAGCTTTGTCTTCTTTTTTGTGAGCACAGAAAATCCCAGTTCACACATACAATACATATAGTAGTGAAAGGAATAAGCGTAGAAACACTGGCCCTACTGAGGACAGGATATTCTGACAAAATGCTGATCCAGAACGACGATAAGGTCACAGATCCATATCGCCTTTGCAAAGTGCGATCATTTGTCAGAACTGAATATCGCAGACCGACAGGCAGATCATGACAAGGCGACTCAGTCTTTGGGAAACAATGCTCTAGAAGAACCCTACATTTGGTTCCATATCTGGCCAAAATGTTTGGGTCAAAATTTTATGCAAAGTAAAATTGAAAATTGCCCTATACTATAACAGAACCAAATAAATAAGGCATTTTCGAATCATTTGTCATTTTATTCTGCAAACACAAACTGAAACTTGCATAAAAATGACTTCCATAAAAGGCCATAAATGTTGCTTAGAAATTCATAAAGTCCATAAAAAGTTAGTCAATTTCCAGGAAACATCAACCTCTAAAACAGGGGTCTCCAACCTTTTTCCTCTGGTGAGTTTCCTTTACAAACAAAAATGTCAGAGAGCTTCTAATGTTAGTGGTCGTAAGAAACTGAGACAGTAGAAGAGCCATGGCGAGCCTTTAATGGGGTACAGTTAGATGCCTATAATATAATCATTCATAAACATTATCCGTTTATTAGAGCACAAATTTGTTTAATTTAGTATAATTTAGTTATTAAGCACAATACATATATATCAGAAATCCCTTGACGAGCTACAGATTGAAGACCCCTGCTCTAAAACTAGGGTGGGCAAACTTTTTGACTCGTGGGCCACAAAGGGTTCTAAAATCTCCAAACCAGGAGCAGATGGTTGGAGGTTTTTGGTAATCCACCTCATAAGAGAAAAAAATAAATAAATGTTTCATAATTGAAAATCATTACAAAGCATTACAACAAAATATCGCTCTTTCAAGTTCCACGGTATTTACTATTTATTGACTTTTAAAACGCTTTAAATTATTATTATTATTCAATTTCGGCGGGGCATAATAAAAAGATTAAAGGGTCCCCGGGCCGTAGTTTGCCCACCTCTGCTCTAAAACATCTCCTTTTTCTTCCAAATGTCTTCCTAAATCATCTAAAAACTAATGCAGGGTTCTAATCGAGGTTATCTGAAACTTTATTTTTCACCACGCTTTGATGGACCACACTAATGTTCATGTTTGTACAAAAGAATCGAAACTGGACCTGTCCCCCATCTGTGCTTTACAAACACACAACACACATTTGGAAGTCTACATGGATCGGACCGGGAGACAGGGAGCAGATCGGAATAAACATTGCTGCATAACATGAGGAGAGACGGAGGAGGAAAAAAGAGAGAACAATCCCAGACCATGCTCCAATATCAGTGCATAGTATGGGGGAGCGCACAAAAAAACAACACCTCGCACATCAGTGCAGTCAAAACACAGGACGAACATTTCACAGGACTAGCAACAGTTTAGAAAAGGGGTGTGGTGTTAACCCGAAGTAGGCAGCAGCCATTCGGATCCGCAAAAATCCAATCGTGATCTCATCCTTGTGACAGTTTTGGTCGTGTGGTGATTCATTATGTCTCCATTTAAAGGCGCTCTACCTGATTTTTTTACTGAAAAACAAATCTAGTTCCTTCAAAATGGTTTGCGGTGGGCCAAAGTTGTTCCTCACTTACCTTATCATTCCGAGTGTCCTAATTATTCAGCTTGATGAGTTTATAAGCGCTTTCCACAACTCTCACAGACCAATGCGGAGTTTTGCCGTGACGGTAAAGCCAGCGACAACTAGCATGCTGATCTGCACTTTCTGATTGTTGGGCAATGACATGCTTTTGAATTGGATGCAGACGGGACGCTGCGAGCTTGGTAAAAAATCTGGTACAGGCCCTTTAACGCAGCTTAAATAGAGACACGTTTTACGACCTATTTCTCCTACTGGTGAGTTTCCGGAAGGCTGTGAGTGAGTGACAGGTGGGCTCAGCCAATCACAGTGACGTGTGATCTCTCAGGAGAAGCAGGTGACTTTATTTAGCTCCTTAAAGAGGGGTATTATGCAAAATGGATTAAAAAGTTTGATCTCATCCATGCATGTTTCGGATTTCTCCTTAAGTTTAGCTGTAAGATTCTGTGCAGCGCTTCGCCCACAAGCCTACATCACCCACGCTCCCTCACGACCCCATCAAACGCAAACCTACACAAAAACTATGTCAGTTGTTTGTGCCGTTTTGTGCTGCAAAAAGTTTTGTTTGTGTTGCTTTACTTTCTGATATACTAACGATTGTTTTATAGGTCAAATTGGGGTCAGCCAGCCCCCAGGAAACTTAAAAATGCTCTAAAATGCCCAAAATGGTGTCAGTTGTTTGTGCTGCAAAAAGTTTCGTTTGTGCTTTTATCGTTCTTATGATATTAGCGATTTTATTTTCGGCCAAGGACGTCATTCAGCCACTCAAAATGTTAAATAGGCTCAAAACAGGCTGAAAATTATACGAAACGTTTAAATTTAATTTGTTCTGTTTTGTGCTGTGACTATTTTCATTTGTGCGAGTATATTTCTAAAATTATGAATTATTATTTTGCGGAAATTATATGACGTCATTTCCACTCAGCTGATGGCAGCAAACTCCGCAAAACTAGTGAAGATAAACAATTTGAGGCTGTGTAAAAGTCTGTATCAGTCTTTAGTACCTTGCTTTTGATTCATATTTTATATAATAATACAGACTTTTCCACTGCCTGAGATCGTTTATTTTCACGAGTTTTGCAGAGTTTTGCTTAAGCCGCTGCCGTCAAATGAGCGGAAATGACGTCAAATACTTTCTCAAATGAAAGTTGTCACAGCACAAAACAGCACAAACGAAATACAAATGTTTCGTTACATTTTCTGCCTGTTTTGAGCCTATTTAACATTTTGAGGGACTGGATGACGTCAGAATAAAACTGTTAATACCTTAAGAACCATAAAAGCACAAACAAAACGTTTTGCAGCATACAACAGCACAAACAAGGCTCAAATGATTAACACCATTCTGGGCCATTTTAGAGCATTTTTAAGCTTCCTGGGGGCTGACTGACCCCAATTTGACCTATAAAACAATCGTTAATATCTCAGAAACTAAAGCAGCACAAACAAAACTTTTTGCAGCACAAACAGTTGACATTTATTGTGTAGGTTTGCGTTTGATGTGGGGCCAACTTCATGGAGGTGACAATTCTCCATAAATATACAAAAACATGATACAAAACTGTACACGACAGCTTGCCAAACGTGACGAGATGTGCAGTAGCTTCATGAGCGACCTGCACTGCCGATAGTGTTGCGGTAACGCTCTGAACGGGGAGTAAGCAAAGGGTAGGGAGGCTCAGAGCGTCGAAAACATAAGTGATGTCATTGGCTTTGGTGAACACAGCATTTTCAAAACAATACAAGAAAACACGGTAAAATTATATGTAGTTAATACGATTAACTGAGATTCAGGAGCAGGACCACCCCTCAGCCGTCCTCTCCACTCACCAGGGGGGGATCCCGTTCCGGCTGGGCCAATTGTAGATTGAGACGGAGCCCCCACCCATAGTCTCAACCCAGCCATCTCTGCCTCGCTTCGTACATTATCAGTAAACATCTTCGCACTATGTCATTGTTGGCGTGGTCCTAGCGAGTGAACTCTCTTTAAGGTCATGGAAAATTACAAAGATGCTCAAGAATTCAGCCCACAGCCTGAAGTGATCTGGCTACTCTTAATCTGAATTTGGATTGTTGGATTAAGTGTGGGCGAAAGAGAAGCTTCATCAACTTGAAAAGAACAGACAGAATGCATTTTGATAAGACGTGTGTTTTAAAATGGTGTGAAATGTTGAAATTTAAACAATAAATTATATATTTTTGTATATGATCTGATTAAAAACTGCATAAAATGTGCATCATGTAACTTTTCCGATGAGGGGGTATGCTACTTGCATTTCTCCATTGCTCTGGCATTAATTACAGGTCCTGAGCTTTATGTCATGTTAGAATGTGGTTACCTCCTCAAAAACAAACCCGGAGTTGTGTTAGACGTGTTAGAAGCCAAATTTTACAGCTCCTTTTAAAGTTTACCAGCACTAAAATTATCCAAATGATTCCAGTGAAAGTGTATAAACTGGAAAAGACAATGGAGCACTTACTGTATTTTCACATCACAAGGTGGAGAAGAGAGTGATTTCTGTTTGAGAAGAATCTTAGACAAATTGATCCACAAGGGAAATTACTTAATTACAGTAGCTCACACCATACCAAGAGGTTTGACTCCCCCAACTTTAAGACTTTTTAAGACCTTTTTAAGACCACTTAAATGAAAGTTACAACCAACTTTGCACCCATTATGCGGGCGAAAAACACCAGATCTGCGTTCAGACTGCAGCCTGAAGTGACCCAAATCCGATTTTTGGCCCCTATGTGACCTGTATCTGATCTTTTAATGACAGTCTGAATGACACAGATCCGATTTTTTCAAATGCGACCCAGGCCACTTGGATATGTGCTCCTGAAACCGATACATATCTGATCTTTTGACATGCGACTTCAGTCTGAACGGTCAAAGCGCATTCGTCCGACCTACACGTTATCAACAAGCCACAAACGTCACTATTCTGCGCTGAAGTAGACGAAAATTGTTAATGAACTCCGTGTCACTGAAGTGAAGCACATCACCACTCACCACTCTTGGCTCCGTCTCCACATCCACACGTTCCTTTCAACGGACGTTTCTGCCACTGCCGCACAAAACACCACGACCAAAAACCTCGTCCTTCTCCTTCTCAGTCTCCTCCTTAAAACAATTAAGTTGTTTATGTTCTGGCTACGGTACAAGAGGAACTTTCAAATCGCCAGCTGCTCAATGCTTTCATAAACACAGAGCACGCTCGCTGCGGTTGACGTCATCGTGTCCTCCAGTGTGCATGCAGGACATTTTTGGGCTGTTTAATGTTCACACTGGAGATCACAATCACGTAACATTTAATTGGTAATGTGAACGACCTCGCAAAAACATCGGATTTCACAAAAAAATCTGAATTGAACATTAAGCCCTGCAGTCTGAACGTAGCCTAATTCTAATAATGACCAAACAACTACTATATCTAGAATCTAAAAGCCACTTTGAATTAAACCGACACTTAACCATGATCCATCCAACGATTTCCTCCACTTTACTCATTGCCACCGGCGCCAGAAACCAAAGTATGTGTTTGTGCATGCTTTATATTAGACGTCCATTCAAGTTATGTGATTTCACGTTGTTGTTGTTTTGTTTTTCTCCCTCCATTTCACATTGCACTACAGCCCGGGTGAGTATACAAAAAATAGGCTAATGAAATTTACAGAGCAGCCGCGGGGTCTTAAAAGTCTTAAAAAGATCTTAAATTTCGAGTTCCTAAATTAAGGCCTTAAAAAGTCTTAAATTATGTTGTCCAAGTCTTATTTCTTTCACAAAGGTCTTAAATTTCATTAGACTATTTTTTGTTTACGCAACCGGGCTGCAGTGCAATGTTAAATGGAGGGAGAAAAAACAAAAAAAAAACAAAGCGAAACCACGTAATATGAATGAACGTCTAATCTGATTAAATACGAGCACACTTTGGTTTCTGGCGCCGGCGGTAATGAGTAAACAATCAGTAGAGTGGAGGAAAATGGATCATGGGGAAGTCTCGGTTTCATCTTAAGTGACTCTTAGATTCTAGATATAGTAGTTGTTTGGTCATTATTAGAAATGGATCTGGTGTTTTTCGCCCGCATAATGGGTGCAAAGTTGGTCATAACTTTCATTTAAAAGGTCTTAAAGTCTTAAATTTGGGGTAGTCAAACTGGGGATACCCTGATTTATGACATTTGTGAAAAAAATAAGACTTGGAGGACATAATTTAAGGCTTTAATTTAGGAACATAAAATTTAAGACCTTTTTAAGACTTAAAACTCCGCGGCTACCCTGCAATACACTGTCAAATAATTATATAAATGTACATGCACAAGTCAAAATAAAATAGAAAAGTAAGTAATAAAGATCTGCCTAAATATGCAAGATATATGTGTTAAATGTGTGTGAATGAAACAAAACAACTCCAGGTTTGTCTGTGACGAGGAAACACAGATCAGAAAAGGTTAATAATATGGGCTCTTTAATAAATGAGATTTCCAAAAGTAAAATTTTTTTGTGTTGGTCTCAAACGCATTATTTTCTTAAAGCTGCACTGTGTAACCTTCATGGGGACGTTCCGCCGCCTGCTTGTCTCTGTGATGACGTTATTGCTTTGTCTGGATTATTCCACAGTACGGCTTTAAACGTATCCATGTTGCATTCATTCAATTAAAGTTATTTTAATGGTCAAAAATACCTTGAAAAACACACATTCTTACTGTGAGCATGGTCATCTCTCCTTACAGGGTTCTCACGGTCATGGAAATCCTGGAAAAGGCATGGAAATTGAAAATGTCGCTGAATTTTGGAAATTCTATGGAAGTTTAGGAAATGTTATGGAATTTTAGTACCGTATTTTCCACACTATTGGGAGCGCTTTTAAGCCTCTAACTCCATCAAAAAATGACCGCGCCCCAATCCAGAGCGCCCTATACACGAATCCACTCAGGTGTCCCAGCGCGATTTCGGTAAACTACAGCCGCACCAGCAGAACACGCACACACCGCAGCGACCGCACACGAAAAACACCCACGCAGCCACACACACTCATCACTCCACGCCGACGAGGAACGGAACGGAGGAAAGAACCGAAAAAGCGAGTGCAATGTGCCACTTCTAGACACAACTGAACAACTGAGTCACTGTGAACAAGCAGACAATCCAGCGATCCCAGACAGCACCCTCCCTACACGCCACAACTGAACAAAGCCCAGAGTCACCGTGAACGCATCCAACTGTTGTGTTTCGTTTAAAGTCCAGTGCAGTTTGTTTGTGAAAAAAGCTAGAAAATAGACCATTCTATGACAGTGTGTTTTATAATCCAGAGCGCCTAATAGTGCAGAAAATCTCTTCCACGCAACTACAGCGCTGTTGTAGTTGGTGTGTTATGATTATAGTATGTGCCTTTTGTTTAAAAGAGACGACAGTAAATGCACTGACAGTATTTTGAATGTAACACCAAACCATAAGGTGAGTGAAACATTTCATATTTAGACCTAAAAGTCTGATCAATTCTACACATGTAGGTGCCGTAAAGTCATGGAAAATTCACTTTAGGTCATGAAAAAGTCATGGAAAAGTTTTGAAATTGTGTTAGTGAAAAAGAGTGGGAAGCC